TTCATAGAGGAGGAACCAATTATCACCATTGGCCTTCAAAACAATAACGTATGCTGCAGCTTCAATAATCCCTTCAAGGCCATCGATGCTTGCAAGTTTTATCATTCTTACTTCACCATACTGATATACCTTTGACTTCACACAATTCTTTAACAGCAACTCTGGAGCAAGGCCACGGTAATGGTCGATAAGTTTCGCCTCCATTAGTGATTCAATTCAAGACTGCCCCAGCCCCACCTAGTTTTCCCTAATGCGTGGGCGGAAGCGAGTATTTATCGTGGATCAGCGCTTCAACTCTTCAACCTCGTCCTCGAGTCAAGGAACTGAGGAAGAGAAACCAGATAAGTAAACTATTTTCATAAAATTTACTCATTTATAAAGAGCACATTAGGTTTGAAAGGAATGGTGATAATAAAATTAGGGGGCTCCCTAGTCTAATATCTCACGTCTCATTTGAATTCAGTCCAAAGAATGATCAGGAATTATCTCAAAGTCAATCAAACGATCACCTCACTGAAATCAGAAGCTCTTAAAGTTAGCAAACAAGTCATGTGATCATCACCATATGTCATGTGCCCTGGCGTTACATGCACATGTATAAAATAAAATGAAAACCGTACAAGATGATTTATTGGTGGGAAATTAATATTAGCAATTGGTGGTTCTATGAAGAAATTGCCAATATAGAATCTGCTATTTTGTTTTAACCTGAGCATGCTCAATGGCATGTGGCGCAAAATTGCCAATATAAAATTCCCCAATTTCTTTCTACAGGCAAATTCGCCAAATATTACTCCAGCCAATAAATCATATCTTGTATGATACATGTAAATGTACATGTACGTGTTTTCTTGTTTTAGGAGAGACATTGGAAGCAGCTGACAAGGAACTGGGTGTGTCTTGGACCTGTTTGTCCTGTTTTTAGGACAGGTTTGTGGAGTGGAGTCAGTAGACCTCATTAAAAATGACTGAACGAGGTTATCATTAAGGACATGATCTGGGTAGTACAAGGAGAAATGGCTTTAGAGGAGTTTCTTAAACAAGTGAGTTTGCCAATAATTATACTGAAGATTACTAATAGTGCAGATTACTGAGCTAGCATATGAGTAAAAATAAACTTACATATACAATGCGCACATTCATTAAATTTACTAATAGTTTACTGATAAAATACTGAAATTTACTGGGATTTATCAATTTATTTAGGTTCGAGAGCAGTGGATGATGTATGAATTGGATTTAATTAACTATCAGAACAAATGCAAGCTGATAAGAGGATGGGATGATCTCTTTGCTAAAGTGAAGGAGCATGTCAACTCAGTAACTGCAATGAAGCTATCACCATTCTTTAAAGTAAGAGACAGAGGGAGAGGGGGAGAGAGAGGAAGGGAGAGGGAGAGAGAGAGAGGGAGAAAGAAGGACAGTAAGGAAGAGAAAAGGGAGATGTAAATTAGTTGTGAGATGGTAAAATATTCAAAGTTCAGATATCCGTAATACTATTTAATGAACGAGAGCATAGTAGGAGAGACAGAGAAAAGAGAGAACACCCATGCAAAATTAATTATAAAGAAAGAGAAAAAATGAATAAATTGGTAGAAAAGTGCACTTTTAGTCTCTCCTTTTACTCATACCCTCCTCTTGTTAACAGGTATTTTAAGACAAAGCTCTTGCTTGGGAGGAGAGACTGAACAAGATTAATGCTATTTTTGATGTTTGGATTGACGTCCGGAGAGGCTGGGTTTTACCTTGAAGGTATCTTCACCAAACGAGACTTAAAGGTTTCAGTGCATATCGGCCAAGTTTCTCACAGTCATGAAGAAAGTTTCAAAAAGTCCTCTTGTAATACAAGTCTTGAGAGATTAGCTGATTTTCTAGCCAAGATTCAACGAGCACTTAAAGGTTATTTGGAAAGAGAGAGGGCCTCATTCCCAAGATTTTATTTTGTCGGTGATGAGGATCTACTTGAAATTTTTGGGAACTCTAAAAACATTGCTTAACTTCAGAAGCACTTTAAGATATTGTTGCTTGTATTGCTACAGTGACACTGTCTGATGATAGTAACTGGATTCATGGAATTAGCTCAAAGGAAGGAGAACAGGTGAGTCATATGAGAATCACATGACTTAATCATTTATTTAGCAAATTTTAGAAAAAACCTCTTATAATAGCCCATAATTTTTTCTGAAAATTGGCTTTGAAATTGCCCCCAATTTTTATTACATTTTCAGATGCATAATTATTAATCTCACCAATAAATCATCTTGCATGGTACTACTGTACATGTTCTATTATAGTATACTATACACAGTATTTACAATTTTACATATACTTGACTCAGACATATATACATAAATTACTCATGTTGTGTATTAGACATAAGATGCACAGAGATTATCCTTCCTAGGAAATGTTATTTTTTTTCTCTTTTTTGCGGCTTAAAGCTACAGCTGGTCTTGTGTTAGTGTCCAGTTGTTGTTCCCGCCGCAAGCACCAATAATAAAAATTAATTAATTAATTTGTCTTCTATCCAGTGACATGTACCATTGAATGATGTTACTGGATGCTTGGACACACACACACATGTCACATGACTATCACATGATCTCTTATTATTAATTATTTCTCCCTTAATAGAATTATTGATAATGTTCATGGTTAGATTAATAAGGGACAGTGGATCATTTTTGACAGAGATGTTGATCCTGAGTGGGTGGAGAGTTTAAACTCTGTACTGGAAAATAATAATTACTGACACTACCTAATGGAGAGAGACTCAGTATACCACCCAATGTATGTCAGGATATCATTAGTATACTCTCACTTTCAGTATACATGTAAATGCATTATAGTACAGAGTATTTTATGTTAAAAAGTAGAAACAGCCATGACAGAATTTTAAAAATTCATAAAAAATTCAAAATCAATTGGAATCAGCTAAAACTTTCTACACAACGTAAGAACATGTATATGCATTAGAAAATATTATAAAAATTGTAAATTCTCTACTTGACGTTTTTACCAAAATTTGGCCAACGGCCCAACATGCTACATGTTGTACCTTAGAGTGACTTTTAATTGCGGGTACTAAATTTTGCGATTTTAGCACAAGGTAGATTTTGCTGGCATTAAAAATTGCAATTAAGTAATTATTACTAATAGTTATATGGCATCATGATGCCATTATTAATAATTGTGCGTATTAATAATTGCGATTTTTAACCCAAACGCAAAATTCACAATTAATAGTACCCGCATTTAAAAGTGACCTTAAGGTAAATAGTACAGAGACACTGTCCAAATTTTTCCAAAGATGACTAAGATCAGAGCACTCATAATTTTTTATTAATAATCGTGTTATTATGTTTAGTATATTATCGGTAAATCTCTCTAGGTCCGCATAATGTTTGAAGTGCAAGACCTTTAGTTTGCTAGCCCAGCCACCAGAGTCGTTGGGGTATGGTCTGGTTCAGTGAAGATGTCTTAACACTTAGCATGGTCTTTGATCACTTCATATCCAAAATGAAATCAATACCTATTGAAGAGGGAGAGGAGGAATTGAGGGGAGGAGAGGGCACCTCTGACCAGGAGACAATCTCTCCCATTATGCGGGTGAGCAAAAATCCTTTTTGTTAAATTTTAATGCTACACTCTACTTTATTATATCCATTCAATTTTAAATTAGTTTTGTGAGCTTCTACCGTACAAGATGATTTATTGGTGAGAGTAACATTTGGCGAATTTGCCTGTGGAAAGTTAATAGTGAATTTTATATTAACAATTTTGTGCCATGTGCCATTGAGTATGCTCAGATTGAAACAAAATGGCAGTTGGGGATTTCTTCACAGAGAACCGCCAACTGCCAATATTAATTTCTTGCCAATAAATCATCTTGTACGATATTAAACTTTTACATGTATTTTATGTTTAATAATAACTATCTTCTTTCATAATTCATCTACTTTTTTAACTACGTATACTTGCCCACTAAATTTTATCCCTTTGCCCATACATATATGTATATATTTTTAGGCCCTGAGAGATTGTCCTGATTTATTGAGTCCTTATTTTGCTTTGGACAGTATCATTCCTCGCTGTCTTGAACACGCCGCAACTTTTGACAACATAATGGACTTCACTCGCCTCATGGCCCTCAACTCTCTCTTCTCCATATGTTACAACAAACGATCTCTCATACAATCAGTCACACCCAGACTTCCCCATGCTCTCTGATCAGACCGAGGCTTACATTCCACACTACCTTATATTCTGTTTGATCTGGTGCTTCTCTGGAGATGAGAAGATGGTCTATCGGGAAAAGATGGTTGACTTTATATGAGGGATGACTACAATACCCCTACCACCTGGTACAGCATCCATCATTGATTTTGAAGTTAATATTCAAGGAGAGTGGGTACTGTGGTCTAACAGGTAATTTAAAAAATTAATATTATTTCAGTTAATGCTTCACTTTCTATTTAATGCTCCTCCCTAGAGTACCCAAGATTGAGGTTGAGACTCATAAAGTAGGATCTCCTCATGTACCAATTCTTCATACACTGAGACATGAGAGTCTCCTTTATACATGGTTGGCGGAGCATAAGCCAGTGGTACGTACTGTGAGCCTATGTGGTCCACCAGGTTCTAGTAAAACCATTGTACTGTTCTCTGCATGCTCTTTGTGCACTACCTGCTTTTGAAGTGAGTTTGAATGTGCATACATGTACAGGTGCATGTATATTACATGTATATACACGTTTTTTTACATTGTCAATTCTCTTTTTTATGCCTCATTTAAAAATTCTTTTTTCTAATTAAAGGTACACAGAGAGCAATATCGTTCTTCTTACCTCAGATTGTGTAGCACGGTGGATTTTACAGGACCTCAGATCATCTGTGGGTGACAATAGAGAGGATACAGTTTGTTGGAGCTTGTAACCGACTGACTGACCCAGGGAGGAAGACATGCACTGTCACACAGCAGGTATGTTGTAGTGTGCATGATTATACACCGTATATCCTATAATAAAAGCTGGGTGCAAATAAACACAGGGGTAGCAATAAAATTGAACTGGTAAATATGCATATCTAGCCTTAAAATAACATAGATGCTTTGTAGATGCTTCCTTAGGCTTCCTGAAGTCTTGTGTGTGAGGTCAATGGTTCGCATGTCATTGTTAATTGGCCCAAGTTTTATTTTATTTTTTAAATTTTTTATGAGGTCCAAATGCCATTTTAAGAAATAGGCGTCTGGGCTTTTATTTGAGGAAATACAGTAGTACATGTACATGTACATGTATTTGTATTTGTGTGAGTGATAAAAGTTTGTATTAATTGTTACATTAATAATCAACTGGCAATGGTATTGTGTAATGACTCATGGCATTGTGTGATTTGATTGTTTGACCAATTTGTATTTCATATGTTACATGTAAATATACATGTAACTGTTGAAAACGAGAAAGATACGATTATACATGTAAGAGTATGTTAATTATATTCAAAATCATAGTCATTATACATGTAGTTATGACAGACTCTAATATATTGAAACGACATGATAATATAAATGTATCAGCACAATGTAAACACACTTATGTGTGTGGGGGACAGTATTTAATTGTTACGACGAGTTTTATCTCTGAGGGCAAAAAAGGAAAATATTTACGTACATAATAATAAAAACATAATAATTATAGCAAATCAAGGCAAAAAAGTAAATAAATTAACAAATGAGTAGTAATTAATGGTTTGACAAATTCATGTGGGTCACCATACAGTAGTAGTCTTGGGGAGAGTTGCCTAGTTCCCAGCAATAACTGGGGACAACCCCTACATCCAAGAGGCTACCTTCTCACAGGGAGTTGGCTTAATTCCAAGTGATCCAGGTGACCATAACACCCACCCACTCAACATTGCCAGGGGGCTGGTATCATTTGGTGGGACAACTCAGCACTGAAGGAGATTTGATATCACAGTATACTTGTGATCCAATGGTGTATAATTATAAATTACTTTTAACTTCAAATGGATCAAGCCCCTCCATCAGGATTAACAGCATAAACACCACTTGTAGTAACACCGTCGTCAAACAAGCTCTTACAATCTTTGGTATCTATAATACAAGAATTAAGCACTTCTACTATTTTTGGAGCACCTTTTGGACAAGACTTTGGGTATTCATTAGGACAGAAAATATATTGTGTTACCGTATAGTGGGTTTTTTGAGGATAATAATTTTTGCAAATGACTCATATTCAGAAGTTTGTGGAATTAATTTTCGCGAATTCCACTATTCTGTCATCTTGTACATTAAATTGATTTTCAAGGAATTTAATTTCGCGAATCTTGAAAAATCCGCGAAATTTGTTATCCTTGAAAAAACCTGCTATACGGTATGCCAGTTTCTTGAATAGAAAAAGCCTGTCCTAAGTTACTGTTACAGCATGTCCTTATAAACAGTGATGATTCATGTTTATACCCGGTACTAGCCATACAATAATAGCTTCACCAATGGCAATTATTAAACACAGCAACAACAACATAAAGATAAACGTCTTTGGCATTTTACTAGACTATAATAACAGGTGTGTTATAAGGACTGGAACTTAAACTAGCACTAGGTTTCCTGGTATTGTTTACACGATAAATTTTAGTTTTTTTGGAAGTGATTTCTGAGTAAAATCATTGCACTATTGTTATCTTGAGTACACTCCAATATGTTGTGCCTCTTATATCAACAAATATTATAATTATAATTATATTATCTTAGTTTGTCACTTGGTAAGCTTTGATAGAAAATTGGATGTTGTGACTAATAAAGGGATTAGACTGCCGTATAACGCTTTATTTTGGTGGTGCTTTATTTTGACGATTTTGTTATAAAATTGTAATTGGCAGTTTTTAATTTGGCGATTTTTGTGTACACGTGCATTACTGAGCATGTGCATTAATGATTGGCGGTTTTGATATTAGCGATCCTGCTTGCAAACTGCCAATCGCCAAAATAAAACTCCACCAAATTAAAGCGTTATACGGTATATTGATACTGTATAGGGGTTTTTTGGTATAAAGTTTTGCAAATTTGTCCAGATTCGTCATTTGTTGGTATGAATTTTCATGAATCTTACTTTTGCAGCCATTTTTTGTGAAATTTACTTTCACAAATTTAATGAAAATGCAAAATTAGCAAAATTTATTTCCAGTGAAATAGTACATGCATATCCCCTATATGGTATGAATTATTTTTGAGATTGTTTTCACCACCTTGTAAGCATTTTTTCTTCTCACTAATAATTGTAGAGGCTCTATTTACCTTCTATTGCCTTTGGAATGCAACAGTAGTCAGTCTTATCTTGCTGTTAGAAAGGTCTCCATTTTAATGTCACCCTTTTTGTTTGTTATGGTCACACCTACATGTGCTTCATGCATGTTTGTGCAATTTGCTTGTGGGCAAATTTATTTTTAAAGCATTTGTATCTCCACTACAATTTGTAACGTAAGTGTACATTATTTAATAGTAAAAGTCAATAGCAATTAATTATTAATAATCACTACAAAGTATGACAGACTGTAATATTGAAATGGCATAATAATATATCAGCACAATGTAAACACACTTATGTGTGTGGAGGACAGTATTTAATTGTTATGACGAGTTTTTATCTCTGTGAACTTGAGACTATTGTGCACATTTTTCCAAGTGAACCAAATGATTCCTTCTTGATTATTAGTTGAAGTATTAAAATAACGACCATTAAGATTTGATCTATAGCAGCCATTATACCACCAAGCACCAGTGTACCATTGAGCACAATTACCTTCTGGCCTTTCATCATTATCATTATCTCTTGTGCTGAATCTCCTTCCATTTTGATAGTTCATACTATCCCCAGCAGTACCAGAGTATCCTCCTACTGCTAGTATATATTCAGTACTACCATCACTAACACTGAATGTAGAGTAGTTAGCATAAGCTGTGCTATTATCAAAGTCTCCCAGGTCCACTCTTAGTGTGTTTGATCCTTCTTTAGTAAGACGATGAATCTTGCTCAATCCTAACCAAAACTCACCAGTAAGGTCACCAAATCCATTCTCATAGTCAGTCCAGTTCCTATAGAAATCAACAGATCCATCTTGTCTCCTCTGAAATACAGTCCATCCACCACCATCAGTCTCCATATCACAGTATACCTGTGATCCAGTAGTGTATAATTATAAATTACTTTTAACTAACTTCAAATGGAGTCCCTCCATCAGGATTGACAGTATAAACACCACTTGTAGTATTACCATCCTCAAACAAGCTCTTACAATCTTTGGTATCTATAATACAAGAATTAAACACTTCTACTATTATTGAAGTACCTTTTGGACAAGATTTTAGGTATTTATTAGGACAGAAAATATATTGTGTTATACCAGTTTCTTTGATTGAAAAAGCCTGTCCTAAGTTACTGCTGTTACAGCATGTCCTTATAAACAGTGATGGTTCATGTTTATACCCAGTACTAGCCATACAATAAGATCCTTCTCCTTCATCAATGGTAACTATTAAACACAGCAACAACAACATAAAGATGAACATCTTTGGAATTTTACTGACTATAACAGATGTGCTACAGGAACTGGAATTTAAACTTTAAAAGTAGCACTAGGCTTCCTGTGTACTATTCATGTGCCAAATTTTAGTTTGATTGTAAATGAATTCTGAGTAGAATTATCTCACTTTTGTTATCTTAATTTGGTATGCTCCAACATGTTGTCCCTCTTATCTCACTTGGTAAGCTTTGATAGAAAATTGGATGTTATGACTAATAAAAGCATCAGATTGTATTGATATGAAATTGTTTTTGAGAATGTTTTCACCACCTTGTAAGCATTCTTCCTTCTGGCTAAGACTTGTAGAGGTTCTGTTTACCTTCTATTGCCTTTGGAATACAACAGTAGTCAGTCTTATCTTGCTTTTAGAAAGCTCTGGACTTTGTCCCATTTGAATGCTACCCGTTTTATTTGTTATGCCCACACCTACATGTAGATGTACTTAATGCATGTATGTGTAATTTGCTTGTGAGCAGATTGATATTTAAGGCATTTATATCTCCACTACAATTTGTACCATACATGTACATTATTTTAATAATGAAAGTCAATAATCAATGATTATCAATAATCACTACAAGGTATGTAATATTGAAGTAGCATAATTAGCACAATGTGAACACACTTATGTGTGTGTGGGGGACAGTATTTAATTGTTATGATGAGTTTTCATCTCTGTGAACTTGGGAGTAGTGTATGATTTTTTCCAATAGTACCAAGTAATTTTTCAAGCATTAATAGTTGCAGTGGTAAAATAATGACCATTAAGATTTGAATAATAGCAGTTATTATGCTACCAGGCACCAGTGAGGTCTTGAGCACAGCTACATCTTGATGATGTATCATTATCATTATCTCTTATACTGAATCTATATCTATTATGTAAAATTTATGTTGCAGACTGTCCCCACCAGTATCAGAGTATCCTTCTACTGTTAGTATACATATTCAGTACTACCATCACTATAACATTAAATGTAGAGTAGTTAGTATTACTTGTGTTTCCCTCAAAGTCTCTTACTTGTGGACAGGCCTGTGGCTTTACATCAGGACATACCATAATAGTCTTCCTTACTCCTTCTCTATATGAATAATCTGTCCTAAGTTACTGCTGTTACAGCATGTCCTTATAAACAGTGATGGTTCATGTTTATATCCAGTACTAGCCATACAATAAGATCCTTCTCCTTCATCAATGGTAACTATTAAACACAGCAACAACAACATAAAGATGAACATCTTTGGCATTTTAATAGACTGTGCGAGTGTGTATAATAGGAACTGGAATATTGAATAAACTAGTACATGTACCTACTGTAAGGAAATTAATTACTTAATTATTTATGAAAACAATAGTAGCATCACTTAGTATGGCCTGCCATATAGCAAGAAACTATTTGCCCAAAGTTTTTGTAAGATTTTATATTTTAAAATCATGAAACCGAATCTTGAAAACTGATTAAATATTACCAAATAGTAGAATTTAAATCCTTCAAAATTATTATTTTTGGATGATTAATTAAAGTTTTGAGCTGCAAATATATCTTTGCTATATACACTGTTAATTTGTTTATGTTTATATTACCTAGCTAAAATACAGTTCAATCTCCAAAAAGTGGATGCTTTGGGAAATAGCTTTTGCCCTTTATTTGGAGGCTATTTTGCACCTTTTATTGGCTTCAGTATGAAAACTAGTGGACCTCCCAAACAATGTAAATTAAATGGTACTTGCTCACTTGTGTATTGCTATACACATTCCCTTAACAAGCACCTCACAGTGTGTGTTGATGATTATACTATTTAAAAATGCACCCTCTGTGACACATAATTATTTATTTATAAGGTTTGTCAATGAGGTTAGTGAAGGTGTGTTTTTATTGTAATTAACAATAGCAAAAAATTATAATAATCACTGCAAGGTATGGCAGACAGTAATAGTTCAATGACATAATAATATATCAGCACAATGTAAACACACTTATCTGTGTCAGGGACAGTATTTAATCGTTACGACGAGTTTTCATCTCTGAGAACTTGAGAGTAGTGTATGATCCTTTCCAATGGTACCAAGCAATTCCTTCAGCATTATTAGTTGAAATATTAAAATAATGACCATTAAGATTTGAATAATGGCAGCTATTATACCACCAAGCACCAGTGTATGTCTGAGCACAGTTACTGCCATGGTTATCATTATCATTATCTCTTGTACTGAATCTCCTTCCATTATGATAGTCCAGACTATCCCCAGCAGTACCAGAGTATCCTCCTACTGTTAGTATATATTCAGTACTACCATCACTAACATTAAATGTAGAGTAGTTAGCATAACTTGTGTTCCCCTCAAAGTCTCCCAGGTCCACTCTTAGTGTGTTTGATCCTTCTTTAGTAAGACGATAAATCTTGCTCAGTCCTAACCAAAACTCACCAGTAAGGTCACCAAATCCATTCTCATAGTCAGTCCAGTTCCTATAGAAATCAACAGATCCATCTTGTCTCCTCTGAAATACGGTCCATCCACCACCATCAGTCTCCATATCACAGTATACCTGTCATCCAATAGTGTATAGTGTATATTATTAGTAACTAACTTCAAATGGAGTCCCTCCATCAGGATTAACAGTATAAACACCATTTGTAGTAACACCGTCATCAAACAAGCTCTTACAGTCTCTATTATCTAGTTTCATAGTGTCAGTATATTATTAATGTTTCAACTATTAGTTTATTTACCTAGTGGTGGACAGGCTTTTGGCCTTACATCAGGACAGACCATGATAGTCTTTACTCTTTCTTCTCTCATACGAATAGTCTGTCCTAAGTTACTAATGATACAGCATACTCTTATATACAGTGATGATTCATGTTTATATCCAGTACAATCAGCCATACAATAGGATCCTTCTCCTTCATCAATGGTAACTATTAAGCACAGCAACAACAACATGAAGAACATCTTTGACATTTTATTAGACTGTACGTGTATAATAGGAACTGGAATTTAAACAATTGAATAAACTAGTACATGTATTGCATAGGACAGGTACAAGTTGACAAACTTAGCTTACGAAGATAAACTTTACACGCACTACACATAAACTATGTAAAGGTGCTGGTTTACAGTATGACATTAGACCAAGTCATCAATTTTAATCAAAACCGTGGGCAGTTTGACCTTTTGACGCATGCTTTCCACTAGAATAGAACTGAATCCTATTCCAGTGCCAACGTGTAACGTCAAGCCTATTGTAATATTGTGAACCATGCAGGCTTAAGCTACAAGTAGTTATATGGTGCATGTTTGTGTATAATGTATCGTGTACTAATATCAACAAACTGATGAAGATTATAAGTTACAAGCACTGAAACTACACACACATACACACAAGTTAAATGGAAATGTATGCATTTTATTCTAGTTTGTTTGTCAACTTGTACCTGTCCAGTGCTGTACCTTCTGTAATGAAATATATATATTTTACTTAATTATTTGAGAAAACAGTACTAACATCACTTTGTATGGCCTGCCATATAGCAAGAAACTTTTTACCCAAAATGTCTAATCATGGAGCTAAATCTTAAAAACTGATTGAATATGACCAAAAAGTAGAAGATTGTAAAAATTTGAGGTCTTCAAAATTATTATTTAGGTTTATTTTACCACTGGGGAAATCAGCTTTTGCTCTTTATTTTGAGGCTGTCATACCTAACTAGGCATTCTAATTTTATTGGCTTTAGTATGAAAACTAGTGTACCTCCCAAACACTAATTTGAATGTTACTTTGATCTTCAGGCAATATACTGTTGTACAGAATAAAAAGCAGTTCTGTTTTATGTAGCAAGTTGCTTATAACATCAAATTAACCATAGAATACCTGCAATAGCATTGCCTAGCTTATAGTGGGCTTCTTTAATTATGTCACTGCCCACATTCTTAATTAGCTTTTGGTAGAATTTTGAATTTTTTCGTTAAAAATGTATTGACCATTTTTCTGTTGTCTGTTCATTAGAGTCTTAACTGATTCCTCATAGTGTCTAGTAGTACTAACAAGTTTTAGTTTGGGAAGTGTATAGTTTTGTTTAGTTACAATGTTGAGTCCTTTAGTTAGTAATAGTCAGTATTTCATTTTATGATGTTGGTTATAATATGATCCTATTAGTCTGAACTGGAAGTGTTTTATTTTATATTAATTTTGTGTACTGTATCTACATGTGCATTGTATGTACTGTACTTTTACTATGTTGCTTGCTAAGTTGTTCCATTCATTCTAAAGGTTACTACTACTAGTTAATATTAGCCTGCAATGTTAAATACCGGTAATGTATTGAAGTTACTGTTTTACTATTACTTACTGAATTATTTGTGAAAACAGTAGTAACATCACTTAGTATGGCCTGCCATGCATTGTATAGCAAGAAATTTTTACCCATAATAATTTTATTGTAAGTTTCTAATTTTTTAAAAATTATGCAACAAAATCTTGAAAACTGATTGCATATCACAAAAATTAGAAGATTATGAAAATTTTAAGTTCTCAAATTTATTATTGAAAAGTTTACTAAAATTTTGTTACAGTTCAATCTTCAAAAGGTGGATGCTTTGGGAAATTGGCTTTGCCCTTTATTTAGAGAATGTCAAAGCTAACTTGTCTTTATTAAGAATTTAAGTCATTCTAATTTTGTACCTTTTATTGGCTTCAGTATGAAAACTGGTGAACCTCCCAAACAATTTGATTGGAATGCTACACTGCTCTCTTGTGTATTGCTATACACCTTCTCTTAACAAGCACCTCACACAGTGAGTTTGATGATACATAATAATTTATTTATAAGGTGTGTTGATTAGGTTAATTAAGGTATGTATTTATTGTAATTAACAATAGCAAAAAATCATAACAATCACTACAAGGTACATGACAAACTGTAATATTGAAATGACATAATATATCAGCACAATGTAAACACACTTATATGTGTGGGGGACAGTATTTAATTGTTACGACGAGTTTTCATCTCCGTAAACGAGAGACCTTCATTTTTCCATGCCATCCATTTAATTGCTTCATGATTAGTAGTTGAAGTATTATAATAACGTCCATTAAGATTTGCAAAATAGCAGCCTTCATACCACCAGCCACCATTGGCTCCTATAGCACAGTTACCTCCTGATTCATCATTATCATTATCTTTTGTACTGAATCTCAAATCATCATGAGGGTCCAAACTATCCCCAGCAGTACCAGAGTATCCTCCTACTGTTAGTATATATTCAGTACTACCATCACTAACACTGAATGTAGAGTAGTTAGCATGTCTTGTGTTATTATCAAAGTCTCCCAGGTCCACTCTTAGTGTGTTTGATCCTTCTTTAGTTAGACGATGAATCTTGCTCAATCCTAACCAAAACTCACCAGTAAGGTCACCAAATCCATTCTCATAGTCAGTCCAGTTCCTATAGAAATCAACAGATCCATCTTGTCTCCTCTGAAATACAGTCCATCCACCACCATCAGTCTTCATATCACAGTATACCTGCATGTGACCCAATAGTGTATAATTATAAATTACTTTTAACTAACTTCAAATGGAGTCCCTCTATCAGGATTAACAGTATAAATACCACTTGTAGTATTACCATATTCAAACAAGCTCTTGCAGTCTCTTATATCTATAATACAAGAATTAAACACTTCTACTATTATTGGACTACCTTTTGGACAAGACTTGGGGTATTCATTAGGACAGAAAATATATTGTGTTATACCAGTTTCTTTGATAGAAAAAGCCTGTCCCAAGTTACTGCTGTTACAGCATGTCCTTATAAACAGTGATGGTTCATGTTTATATCCAGTACTAGCCATACAATAAGATCCTTCTCCTTCATCAATGGTAACTATGAAACACAGCAACAACAACACAAAGATGAACATCTTTGACATTTCACTAGACTGTACGTGAACTTTAACAATGACTGGAATTTAAAGCAGAGTCAGGCTTCTGTTACCTGCTTGTGTGCCAAATGCCACTTTACAATATACTGTTGAAGTCAAGCTGTTCTATTGTACACAACCAAGGGTTTGTGATTGATGTCAGTCATGATTCGGCCTAATGCATCCTGAATCATGGATTTTGGGCAGCTAACATATGTACCAATGAGCCTAGTTTGATCTATCATCCTTGATACAATCATGCTGGTATTCATACTGGTTCAGCCAGAGCAACATGCATGATTCAGCAATGATACTTGTCAGACTCTATCAATACTGTATCAGGCTCAATTCATTGATTTTGGACAGTGCCTTGTGTCATACATGCTAACTCTTGGCTGTGTAGGTGATAAGTTGCTTAATATAACATCAACTTAACCACAGAATACCTGCAGTAGCATATTGCCTAGCTGGCGTATGGGGGGCTTCATTAGTTATGTCACTGCCCATATTATATAGGCGGTAGCCTATATGTAGGATTGAGGTTGATTTTTCAAGATGGCGGCCGTTTTTATGATTTTCAAACACTTATAACTCTTTTATCTTACGTTGTACAGCCTTATAAATGGCTTAGATGAGCTCTCCTTCACTGAGCGATTCTCCTGGTACCTTTAAAGTGAACTGTAATGTAGCGGGAGCATTTCTGGAGAACAGGCCCAAATTCAAATTTCTACAAAATTCTTCAGACTTTTTTTTCTTCTTTCATCTTCTTCTATGCACCGGATAATCTTTTAATCCAGTGGACCGCTCAAGTTGGCTTTTACATCATTCTTTTGTGCTTAGGTCAAGGACCACAAAGGTAGTTTCAAAAAGAAGCAAAGACAGGGAGCAAAATGGAAGACAAAATCCAGCTGCAGACACCGCGTGGGTTTGTGGTTTGACGCCATTTTAATTTATGCGCACGTGATCAGTATGAATATAATTAACCTAACCACACAATCATAACAGTATGTAATTTTATAATTTAAGAAAAAAGAATGGAAACAAGTAAATAAAAAACATTAAAAATGGAAAAGTAGTAGGAT